ATCCCAGCTGACTTCCCTTTTGCTCACCCCTTACAGCTCAGCACCACTCCCCGCTCCCAGTACCCTTCTCACCCTTAATGCTTTCCCCGTCCCTCCCCTCCAAAAGCCGGCTTCTCACCGGCGCGGGTGGCGTAGCTGTACAGTCTCCATGGCCGCCTGAGAAGCAGTCCCTGCCGTCACCGACTAAACGGGAAAGGGGGGGAGAAAAAGAGTGGCAGGGGGGCGAGTAGGCGGGCGGGCGCGCGCTCCGGCAGTCACCAGCGTTCCATCCCGGGCACTCTCCCTTCTTCCGCGCTCTCTGCTCCGACTGAGGCTCTCGACCACGCCCCCCCTCCAAGCCCCACGGACACTTCCGCCTCGCCGCAGCCTATCAGCGGCCCGCCCGCTAGAAATTAACAGACCAGACGGAAAGAAAGCCGGGGAGGAAACAAAGCGCGACCCACGTGGTTTCTAAGGTCTTGGCGGCAATTCTCCTCCTTCTCCGCATCAGCGGCCGTTCGTTGGGTTGTCTTGGTCCTTTAGGGAGGATTAACCAAAGAACATGGCTTGAATGCAGTGACCTCCTGTTCCATGAAAGGGGTTTTAGAGAACATAGAACAGTCGTTTTTTAAGGTGCAGCCCTACGTGGTTGTATCTCTGTGCTCTAAGGATGCTTAGCAGATAAGACTGTCCCAAGACCTTTAGGTACCCAAATTAACGACACCCCAAATTCAGCAGGCTGTGGTGGCTCTCTGCCTAATGGGAGGGCTGCCCCTGCGTACTACAAGAAAAAATGCCTAATAAACATTAAGATTTCGGAGGGGACGGCATTGCAATGTGAATCAACTACCCTCTGACTTATCTTAGAAGACTGAAATTGTATTGACTTGTTACACTGATATTTTGCCTTTTATCAAACAAGCCTCAGGTGACATGAATGGCTCTTCTGAACAACTGATTGGTTCAAAATTGGGAAAAGAGTACAACAAGGCTGTATATTGTCTCCCTGCTTATTTAACTTATATGCAGAATACATCATGCAAAAGGTAGGATTGGATGAATCCCAAGCAGGAATTAAGATTGTTGGAAGAAATATCTAAGATCTAAATAACTAAATATCTAAAAAACTAAGATCAATGCCACTGGCCCATCACCTCCTGGCAAATAGAAGGGGAAGATATGGAGGCAGTGACAGATTTTACCTTCTTGGGCTCCATGATCACTGCAGATGGTGACAGCAGCCATGAAATTAAAAGACGCCCACTTCTTGGGAGGAAAGTGATGACAAACCTAGACAGCATCTTAAAAAGCAGAGACATCACCTTGCTGACAAAGGTCTGCATAGTCAAAGCTATGTTTTTTTTTCCAGTAGCGATGTATGGAAGTGAGAGCTGGGCTATAAAAAAAGGCTGACTGCTGAAGAATTGATGCTTTTGAATTGTGGTGCTG